TCTTCACAATTTTATAACATGCAGATAAAAATATATGGTGAGAAACCAGAAAAAGGAGCTGATGGAAGTCGGGGTGTGTGGGGGGGAGGTTGGGCATCTGTTTAGGGGGGGGAGGGGGGAAATGGGGGGGAAACAATGTGGATGGTGTATCTTTGTTAAAATTACCATGTTGAAATTTCTAATAAAAAATATTTTTTTAAAAAACCAAACAAAACGATAAACCATCAAACATGAAAAACTTCCCTAAACAGAGCTTCCTTCAGATTATTGATGTGAGGTGAGAATATTCTCTGTTAGAAAATTCTCCGGAGAATATTCTCCACAAACTGTAAATTCTAATGTAAGAACCGGTTTTACAACCCACATTTAAAAAATCTAGTAAATAATAAGTCAAGCTGTGATATTGACAGTGTAAGCAATGAATTTTTTTTTATCCAGTTACATTACTGGACATTGTGTCATTCACCATTAGCAGTTCTGAAATGTGAGCTACAGAAAACATTTTTATTTATTTTTTTAGTTTTAAAAATGCTATTTGTTTAATTTGATGAACATTTGAATTCGTATGTATTTCAACTATATGTAATAGCCTTTTTTTCTATTTTGGTGTGACCTTATTCTTAGCAATTCTATACCCTTGGCCATTCAGTGTGATCCCCCCCGCCCCCAGAAAGTAGCTTTAATGCTTTATACACTTAAAGTACCTAGGCCTATACAATTATGTGTAACAGCATGTGAGGTGGCCTTGATTTAAACAGTTTTTTTATTTATTTAGTGTATCCCCTCTTCAGAGGTATTCCAAAAGTCAGGTAGTTGTTTATTTCCTTTACATCTGATGGGAGGGCGTTCCACAGGGAGGGCGTCACCACCAAGAAGGCCCTCTGCCTGGTTCACTGTAGCCTCAATTCTCATAAGTAAGGAACCGCCAGAAGGCCCTCAGAGCTGGACCTCATTGTCCGGGCAGAACGATGGGGGTGGAGACACTCCTTCAGGTATACTGGGCCGAGGCTGTTTAGGGCTTTAAAGGTCAGCACCAACACTTTGAATTGTGCTCAGAAACGTATTGGAAGTCAACATAGATCTTTCAGGACTGGTGTTTTATGGTCTTGGCAGCCACTCCCAGTCACCAGTCTAGCTGCCACATTCTGGACCACCAATTTACTGAAACTGAAGTCAGTGTTTACACACTAACATTAAGTTTACACACTAACATTCAGAACATTTGCTGGGGGTGGACCGTACTAATCTCAATCATCATCATCAAACCTTTATTGGCATCACATACAAGCATTCAGAATAAATAGACCAGTGCGATCTCATTGCCATTTCAACAGTACAGTCATTTGCCAAAGGGAAGAAGAGACGAGCAATCTATTTCATCTCTGTGGGTCTCCAGCAAGGGCAGGATCCTGTAGCGTACTTTGACGACAAAAAATCAATAGAGGAACTTAGCTACTGTCTTGGTGAGCTCCTGGTCTCTCTCCTATTATAAGAAGCGTATAACCTCTGTCTCTGGTATCCATGTTGGAATACATAGATGGTCTAGAAATTGTTGGCGGAGATAATCATACATTTTACATTTAAGGACCATGTGAGCTAGAGTTTCCACCAGGTGGGCATCGCATGGGCAGATCCTATCTCCTTCTGCCATACCCTCAAACCTACCCCAAGGGAAGTTAGAAGGGTTAGGATTGAACCTAGCCAGCGAAAAAGTCCTTCTTTATTGAAGGTTAAACAAAAATAGTAAATAATTAAGGTTAAATTCCTTCGCCCAAGAGAGTCGAAAATAAAGAGGGGAACATATTTTTTCCACAGCTGAGAACTATTCTCAATAGTGCTGAATTTCCCCTAGGACTTCAACCCTATGTGAAATTCCGCTATCTCTTTGAACAATAAAAGGGAAGGTGATTTCAGGGAGGGGGACATTTTGAACTTCATACAGAGAGAGTTGCATAACCTAAGATCCATCGCAGAGACAGACCTTTCTGGGAAGATAGACTAGTCCAACAATGGTGACTCAGGGTGACTGTGGTTGAACACACTGAGACGGCTTTAGGGCCTATTCTGTGGTAGGGAGGACAGCAGAGGAATCTGACCTCTCTAATACTATTACATCTGCTTAGTGTTGTTCAGTGGAGCTCTTCCAGGTATTCAAAGACCTTCGATGATCTGGCCAAGGCAATGGAGTGATAGAACCATCAGTGGCCTGTTGTGACCACTTTTTGCATATCAAATTGCTCACATCAGCTCCCAGATAGACATTGGAAACAAGACGGAGAACGTTTATGGTGCAATCTGGAAACAGTCCAGCCTAAACACCTGGACAGCAACAGGGAGTCAACCATGGTCAACATGGAGCCATGCAGACTAATGGTCCTATGTCCCTATATTGTTCCTGTTGTCTGGTTCCAAGGATGCAGTGGAAATTATGGTAGAAAATCAATAAATTAATAAATAAGGAACCCATGTTAGCTGTAATTCTGTAAGCAATGAACTGCTAACCCCAAGCAAGACTGCCCTTATTGCCCTTCAAACATACTATTAGATGAGACTTCAGTAGCGCTCTGCCCATCTCTAATAGGTCTCCAAACCTGATCTGCGATTCCCTTATATAAAATTTCCATGCTGTCTTGGAAGTAGGATTAAGAACAGGTACAGGTGCCCTAGAAATGGGGCTCAGGTGTGCTCATCCTTTAGAATTCTTTGGGGTACTTTGTTCTTTGTTTAAAGGTACTATCCCAAAAAACCCAGAGAGAGTCCTTTCTGTTCAGGATAATTCAGACTGAAATCCCCAGGTGTCAGAAAAGGTGATTTATGTATGCAAGCACTGTGGCCCATGTTTTGTTAGCCCCAAAATGAAAAATGAGCAAGGTCTCAAACAAAGAAGAACGGCAACTTAAGTTGACAGAATATGCACAACTTGCAGACTTCACATATAGAATAAGAGAACAAGAAGAACATACGTTTAAAGAAGATTGGAAAACGTTTATTGAATATATGGGAAATCATTGTGTATAGCTGAAAAGGCTGGCAGCATTAAGATAAATTCAACAGTGTCAACAAGTTCTGATGGATACAATAATGGAATACTGAATGGTATAGTTTTTGTAAAATATTCAGGGATTTATTATACGTAAAATGAACCATGGAAAGAGAAGTCATTAATATCTGATGGATGTAAAATGAGTATTTTAAATTGTAAAACAGAAAAATTAATAAAAATTAAATTAAAAAATTAAAATAAAATAAAGTATAATTCTTTGGGGAAGAGCTCTAGCTCATTGGTAGAACATTCACTTTCCATGGAAAAGGTCCCACATTCAATCCTTGACAACCCCATGTCGGGCTGGGCAAGATCCCCACCTTAAATGCTAGAAAGCAACAGGCATTCAGTGTAGATAACACAACAGTCTGACTCAGTATAAGGCAGCTTTCTAGGTTCCTATGAATCAGAAACTTTAAGCAAAAGCCAGCATGTTCCACCAGTAGAACAACACACCATCTGTGTATTGTACAGCACTTTAGTCTTCAAAGAACAAATTGTAAAGCCCTTCAGTAAACTCTTTTATTAAAGGAGCGTCACACAGAAACACAACAGGCTAGCAATAGACTTGCTCATGCTGCTCTCATGCTGACAATCTCACCGTGTTCCATTTATATCCAACATCACTGAAACAATGTTATTTTCACATATCTTGGAAGTGGGGATGGGGATGGCTTATAGAACGGGAGCTAGCGTGTAAAGCCAATAGCTTTCATTTGTTTAGCTTGCTACATTACATGCGGGTAGCGCTGTGATCTAAACCACTGAGCCCCTTGGGCTTGCCAGTCAGAAGATCGGCGGTTTGAATCCCCATGACGGGGTGAGCTCCCATTGCTCTGGCCCAGCTCCTGCCAACCTAGAAGTTCGAAAGCACACCAGTGCAAGTAGATAAACAGGTACCACGGTGGTGGGAAGGTAAACGGTGTTTCTGTGCACTCTGGTTTCCATCACGGTGTCCTATTGCACCATAGTCGCCTTTGACTGGACTTAACCATCCAAGGGTCCTTCACTTTTACCTTTTTTAATCATTATTACATTAGGTACTTCAACTGATGAGGTTTGCCAGGCAGCTATAACATTCCACATCACCATATCTGTACAATGGCATTCAACTCCCTTGCAACAAGCAGAGCAACATGTCCTGCAAACCCCCTTTCTGCCATGTGCCTTCTCTTGGGTTGTGTGGCACACTGTGGGCCAGACTTAGCTGAATGGCGCTGCCGATGGGCTGCTGAAATGGTCCATTCTGGTTCTTTTCTATGATTCAGTGAAAAACCTAGGACTTCCACTCAAATGCAGTTGCGTGCCAAGGCAACTGAGCCACAAAGTTCCCTGGAGAACAATAAAGCACATGAAGTATTTTGGTTTATGGGTTCAAAAAGACCACAACTTTATTGGTTACAGATGAGAGCAGTATGGCTTAGGCAATGGGGTGAAGCCAGGCTATACCTTGACTCTTGTCTGTCTGCAAGGAGTCCACTTAAGGGTAAACCCCTGATAGGGGGTGCCCTATGACTTACATCAAATAGGGACAAACCGAGGGGTTCCCATAGGGACTGTGACATGGCCCTAGCCCATATCCAGGCTTCGAACAGGATTCTCACCCCAGATCCCCTTGCTGAGGAGGGGCAGGGGAAGGCTACAACCTCCCTGAAAAACCTAGGAGTCCCGCTCAAATGCAGTTGCTGGCAAGCCAAACTTAATACCAGGAAGATAAAGGTGGGACACGGGTGGCGCTGTGGTCTAAACCACTGAGCCTCTTGGGCTTGCCGATCAGAAGGTCAGTGGTTCAAATCCCCGCGACAGGGTGAGCTCCCGTTGCTCTGTCCCACCTCCTGCCAACCTAGCAGTTCAAAAGCACACCAGAGCAAGTAGATAAACAGTTGCTTTTGTGACATCACAAGAAACCCACAGCCAATGGCAACAGCTGAGGAGGCATCATTTTCATTGCTTTGAGCCTCACAATGGTGGGTGGACCTATCAGTGATTGTGTGGTCTAAACCACTGAGCCTCTTGGGCTCAGAAGGTCAGCAGTTCGGATCCCCGTGAGGAGGTGCGCTCCCGTTGCTCTGTCCCAACTCCTGCCAACCTAGCAGTCTGAAAGCACACCAGAGCAAGTAGATAAATAGGTACTGCTGCAGCGGGAAGGTAAGTGGCGTTTCCATGTGCTCTGGTTTCCGAAATGGTATCCCATTGTGCCAGAAGCAGTTTAGTCATGCTGGCTACATGACCCAGAAAGCTGTCTGTGGACAAACACCGGCTCCTTCAGCCTGAAAGCGAGATGAGCGCCACAACCCTATAGTCACCTTTGACTGGACTTAACCGTCCAGGGGTCCTTTAATTTTACCTTTTACCTAATATCAGGAATGAGGAAACCTACTGGGAAAACAAGATAGAATCTAGACTGTGCCTGCCCAGGCGCTAGTCACGGTTACTATCTGTTGCCTCCAGCTTCAGACGCGGGAAGCCTCTCAATACCAGCTACAGGAGAAGACAATCAGGTGAGGGCTGCTGTGGTCATGCCATGCTTGTGAGATTTCCAGAGGAATCTGACTGACCACTGTGAATACAGAATTCTGCCCTGACTGGGCCTTTGATTCGGTTCAGAAGTGGCTTGTCTTATGTTATTAGGTGCCAAAGGCTGAGCTAAGGCATGAATGATGAATTGGCTGTGTTTTCAGCAATTACTATCAGCCAGTTGACCCAGTGGAGGAAAACAATATTAATATCCCTTATATGCAAGTACAATGTGGGATATTTTTGCTTATTAACCTACCATTCTTCCCAAAGTCTCCATGATGCTTTTGAATGATTCCCCCAGGTGGTTTCCCACCCAGGTAGCTTACAAGGTCAACCCTGCTTTGAGAGCCATGTGCAAGATGGGAGAGAAACTCAGTTCAGCTCCCCATTAAAAAGGCACCGACATTCTCCTAAACAATATGCGAATCGAAACACAAACATCCGACAAAGTTCAGCCTTCTCTGATTTTTTTCAGTACAGTTCTGCAGCCAAGTAAGGTGTGCAAACATGCATATATCAGGGGAAGTAATATACAAAAATGTGTTATATTGTGGGAAAATGCTTTGCCAAAAAAAATGTATATTAGGTCAAATTGCATACAAACATGTGTATACAGTCATACCTTGGAAGTGGAACGGAACCCGTTCCACTTCCAAAACTTTTGAAAACTAAATCGCGGCTTCTGATTGAATCAGAAGCCGTGGAAGCCCCATCAGATGTTCAGGTTCCAAAAGATCGTTTGCAAACAGGAACAATCACTTCCGGGTTTGCGGCGTTTGGGAGCGAAAACGCCCGAGTTCCGAGGCGTTTGGGATCCAAGGTACAACTGTATTAGGAAGAATTCACCTCAAAATGCTGATGAATTTTCAAGCAGACTTTTATAATAATAATAATATTAGTAATAATAATAATAATAATAATAATACTCTAACTGATGTGTGAGTGTATAGAACTAAACTGACTGGTAAAATGAGAAACTAAGGGAAACTATAATGGAAGCATTTGCCCATCCCAAGTTGTGTGTTTTATCTTCAGTCCAGTCATTAGGCCTCGAGAGCGATTACGCATGCAAGTGAAGGACTGCAGAGGACTTTACATGCTCAAATGCATTTGGAATTAACAACAGCATCCAAATCTTAATAACGAATCGTACGAAAAATACATCCTCTTTTTATCATTATATTTTTCGACAAAGACTTTTTGCTGTACCACAAATAGAGAAGATTTAGCGGACGAAAGTCACAAATCATTTGGGAAGCTTCCGTAGGGGGGAAAAAAAGCTAAGTCAAAAGTATTTCCATTGACAAGTGAGAGAGAGAAGGACAGGGAGCGAAAATAGTATTTTACGCAACTGTTTTTTGTGGTGGAATACCAGAGGCTCGCTTCTGGGACATCTGCCGGATGCAAGGCACCATTTGTGGGGGGTTGTCACAATTCATTTGCCCTCACAAAGCAGATGACTAAAGCCACAGCCTAGGACCGCATTTCAGGTATGGTTAGATGGAGGGGGAAACACCCAAACCCGGCTCCTACAGAGCTGATATCAATCAAGTTGTCTGTTTCCATCTGACACGGATTTTGTGAAAAGCCGAGAATGCAAAACCAAAGATGTATGTGTATTTTTATATATGCCATTCTTGTGAGAAATGGAGGTATGGCCTTATCCTTGTGGTACACATGACCAGAACCACAGCATCTGCAACTCCTAATTATAGGAGAAATTTGATTTTGTAAGCAGGTGTGTGTGTGTATATGTGTTTATTATATAGATATGTACAAAGATAAATACATGAAAACACATGAATTATGTGAAACCGCAGTGGTTCAACAGTCAAAATTTCATCCCTGGAAACACCTTTCTTGGCTCCTTAGAGCAGTCATTTTGTTTTTGTTTCTGCTTCACGGTTGCTTTATTTTCAGTGCAAAACTTGGAAGCAAATCCCACTGAACAGCTGCCTCCATATGTTGTCTTTTCCAATCAGCCATCTGCAAAAGTGATGGGAAAACTGTGCTCCCCCCCCCCCCCCAATTATTGTCGGACTCCAAATCCCATCAGTCCTAGCCAGCATGCTCAGGGATTATGGGAGTTCCCTGATCTACAAGTATTTTACTTCTCTCCCTGCTCCCCAGCTCCGGTATAAATTTGTCTAGTTTGAAGAAGAAAATGATCTGCGTTGTCTGTGATATTTCAAGGGAGGCTGTTGAATGTTTTGGCTGCTTGATCAAACCACAGAAATTCCTAGCAAAGTGTGTTTTCACTTAAGGATGATATCAGCAATTCAGCTGAGGACACTTCAATGTACATAAGAGGACGATGTTTGAAGTGCAAATGCTTTGATTTGACACAACCGGGAAACATTTATGAGACAATATTGAGTGAAATCCTAGTTAGGCTTTGGTTGTTCAGTTGCTTCAGGGATGATAGAATAATTACATTATATCTTACTTGAAGATGTATGGTATACAGCTGAGATGATGCAGCATATTAGATTTTAGCAGGGTGGGACTGCAAAGGTCTGAAAATAGAGGGACCGGATATTGTTTATAACTCTAATGCTGCAGAAGAAGAAGAGGAGGATGAGGAGGAGGAGTTTGGATTTGATATCCCGCTTTATCACTACCCGAAGGAGTCTCAAAGCAGCTAACATTCTCCTTTTCCCTTCCTCCCCCACAACAAACACTCTGTGAGGTGAGTGGGGCTGAGAGACTTCAAAGAAGTGTGACTAGCCCAAGGTCACCCAGCAGCTGCATGTGGAGGAGCGGGGAAGCGAACCCGGTTCACCAGATTACGAGTTCACTGCTCTTAACCACTACACCACACTGGCTCACATTTGGGAACCTATGGCCCTTCAGATGTTGATGAACTCCCACCATCCCTAGCTAGTCTGGAATATCACTTGAGTAATGTTTGTGGAATTGGTGTTAAATCTGAAATAGAGGTCCTACAAACTAAACTTATGAGGCAGATTTGGGGGCTTCCCTGCAGGACACCAGCAGCCCACCTCAAAGCTGAGTTGGGCCTTCCCTCTCTAGCAGCCAGAATTGATCTAACGTATCTGAGATACTGGCACAGGCTAAATGCCTTCGGGGATCATACACTTAACTAAGCCCTGCTGAAATTTTGGAACAAGACGGAGATAGACTGAAATTGCAGAGTTTTGAAAAATTAAAAAACAAAGTGCGAGACTGGCTTCATTATTTTCAGATAATGGAGGCATTTAAATTGGACAAGAAAATTGGCTTCCAGGTGGAAAGATCAAAATTAGAAACAGAACTGTTAGAACCCAAAACTAAGAATTTGTCAAGAATGTATAACTTGCTGCTGAAATGGAATACTCAGGATGAAACGGTAAAATCGGCTATGATTAAATGGGCACAGGACATTGGACATAACATTATGTTTGCTGACTGGGAACAGTTATGGACCACAGGTATGAAATTTACGGCATGTAATGCCTTAAGAGAGAATATTATGAAAATGATATACAGGTGGTACATAACCCCAGTCAAGCTTGCAAAAATCTATCATTTGCTCGATAACAAATGTTGGAAATGTAAAGAAACTGAAGGTACATTTTTTCACCTTTGGTGGACGTGCCCAAAGATTAAGGCTTTCTGGGAAATGATATATAATGAATTAAAAAAGGTATTTAAATATACCTTCCCTAAGAAACCAGAGGCCTTTCTCCTGGGTATAGTCGGCCAAATGGTGTTAAAAAAGGATAGAACTTTCTTTATGTATGCAACAACAGCAGCAAGAATACTCATCACAAAGTATTGGAAGACACAAGAACTTCCCACGCTGGAGGAATGGCAGATGAAACTGATGGACTATATGGAACTGGCGGAAATGACTGGCAGAATCCGTGACCAGGGAGAAGAGTTGGTGGAGGAAGATTGGAAGAAATTCAAAGATTATCTTCAGAAACATTGCAAAATTAAAGAATGTTAGAGTGATGTTGGATCGAAAATAAGTGGTTTCCAGCTGTACAGGTTAAAGTTATTGATAGACTAAGATTAAAGATTAGGATTAAAGATGTTTAAGGAAATGGAAATTTGGTACTTAAGAGGTAAAATTTTAATGTTATATTACATTAAGATTAAAGATTAGGATTAAAGAAGTTTAAGTGTTATATATTATATTAAGATTAAAGATTGGGATTAAAAAGTGGAAAAGAAATTGCTGGACAAACAATTTGGACTGGAATACAAAAGAGGGAGGTATGAGGAAGTCCAGAAAATATGTAAATTCAAAAACGGAAATGGAAAAGTGATATTGTTTTTAATTGTTCTTTTTTTTTTGTTTCTTTTGTATTTTGTTTTCTGTGTTTTCCTTTTCTTTTTGGATTATGTATTGTGTATTTTTGTACTTCTACTTTTATGTTTTTCTGTTTAACTTTTTATTGAAACCTTAATAAAAATCATTTAAAAAACAAAAACAAAAACTAAGCCCTGCTGGTTAGAGCAACTAAGGACAAGGGGGCTGAGCACAAAAGTGCCAAGATAAGTTTAGGGCTTATAATCTCCAAATTGAGAACTACTTAGCCCTTAGCCCACATGACCTTAGAAATTGGATTTTTTTATCAGGATGCCAACCAAGACAGAGCATCCATCACTGCTGCCCATTGCTCTACTTGGTACCCCCAAATTAAGACCTGTCACTTAAGGCCCCATTGCCTTGAGACTCTGACCTTCCCACAACTATGCAGGACCTTCGTAGAACTAAGATTCCAACAGATACCCTCAGCATAATTAGAGGGGAATTCCCAATATGGATCGCAAATGTAGATATGGATGCAATCAGGTAGAGGACTTCACACACTATCTGCTGATTTGCAGATACAACACCCAGAGGAAAATTTATTTTGCCAATTTTTAATTGACTTGCAGGTTGATCCGCAAAGGAAGTGACAGTTGAACTCCAGGGGCGGGGGGGGGAGAAGAAAAGCAAAATAGTAGCATGGCTTCTTTTCATTCTCTTTTTTATAATTTTTATTAAATTTTTTGTTTCACAATTCAAATACACATTTTACATCCTTAAGATATCAATGACTTCCCTTCTTCTCTTTCTGTAGTTCATTTTACTTATCTTAAATCTCCACATATTTTACAAAAACTCTACTAATCGGTTTTCCATTATTGCATCTATCAAAACATTTGCGCTGTTGAGTTTATCTTAATGCTGCTAACATTTTCAGCTGTACACAATTATTTTCCATATATTCAATACATGTTTTCCAATCTTCTTTAAGCATGTGTTCTTCTTGTTCTCTTATTCTATATGTGAAGTCTGCAAGTTGTGCATATTATGTCAACTTAAGTTGCCATTCTTCTTTGGTTGGGACCTTGCTCATTTTTCTATTTTGGGGCTAACAAAACACGAGCCGCATAAATAACCTTTTCTGACACCTGGGGATTTCAGTCTGAATTATCCCCAACAGAAAGGACTCTGGGTTTTTTAGGAAAGAACCTTTAAACATTTTTTTCAATTCATTATAGACCATTTCCCAATCCTCTTTTACATGTCTACCACGTATGAAAGAATGTTCCCTCCGTCTCTTTAAAATTCCACTTTTGTTTATTCTCAATCATATGCACTGCCCAAACGCCATTATTATCTGAAATGGTGGTAACAGCGTTAAGAGATTTTGGAAGACTTTGACTCAAGGTCTTGACTTTCCAAAACATACTTCTCCCTCCCGTAAAACATAATTCATTTCATGTCAATCCTGATTTTATTTATATATGTATATTCCACTTGTGCATATTATACCTTGCATATATTATACTCACAGTGGTTTATACCCAACAAACAGAAATATTAGGGTAGGAAAAATCAAACCTAAATTCACCTCAGTCCTGTGTGTGTCAACTCCAAAGTAAGGCCCACTGAAATCAATGGGACTCTCAGGTCAGTGTTTATAGGATTACAGCCACCGTGTACATATAACAAGAATGGCGGACCTGTGACCTACACTTCCAATGTTGTTGGACTAACTGCCCTCATCCACAGCCAGCCTGGTCAATGGTCAGGGATGCTGAAAACTGTATTCTAGCCATCTCTGAAGGGCTACAGGTTCCCCACCTCTATAATATATCAATACAAATAATATAAAACTTCATAATAAAGAGTACAGCATTTCAATATTTATGAAAAATTCTCATTAAACGATTCAACAAAGCCTAGTTAAGCATAGGATCAATCAGACCCATAAGCGAAGGGCCATAGCTCAGTGATAAATCACATATCTTGCACGCAGAAGGTCTTAACGTTCAATCCCCACCATCTCTATGTAGGGCTGGGGAAATCTCCCTACCTGAAACCCTGGACAGTCACTGCCAGTCAGTGTAGACAATATTGAACTAGCTGGACCATTGTTCTGAGTCAGTATATGGACGTTTCCTATGTTCCGAGCAAGATCAATCATACAGCAGGCCAACTGATAATTACTAGATCATAGCAGCATCTCAAAATCACTCAGTTAAAGCCTAAAGCAAAAAGATTTGCCAATATAGCAAGAAGTACATGCAGATTACAATAACAGTTTGTAAATACATAAACGTAAAAGCAAAACATTGGGTTCCGCAGGTGGCGCTGTGGGTTAAACCACAGAGCCTAGGACATGCCGATCGGTGGTTCGAATCCCCGAGACGGGGTGAGCTCCTGTTGCTCGGTCCCTGCTCCTGCCAACCTAGCAGTTCGAAAGCACGTCAAAGTGCAAGTAGATAAATAGGTACTACTCTGGCGGGAAGGTAAACGGCTCAGTCATGCTGGCCAATTGACCCGGAAGCTGTACGCCAGCTCCCTCGGCCAATAAAGCGAGATGAGCGCCGCAACCCCAGAGTCGGTCACGACTGGGCCTAATGGTCAGGGGTCCCTTTACCTTTACCTTTACTAAAAGAAGAAGAAGAAGAAGAGTTTGGATTTGATATCCCGCCTTTCACTCCCTTTAAGGAGTCTCAAAGCTGCTAACATTCTCCTTTCCCTTCCTCCCCCACAACAAACACTCTGTGAGGTGAGTGGGGCTGAGAGACTTCAAAGAAGTGTGACTGGCCCAAGGTCACCCAGCAGCTGCATGTGGAGGAGCGGAGACTCAAACCCGGTTCCCCAGATTACGAGACTACCGCTCTTAACCACTACACCACACTGGCAAAACATTAACAGCCTTATAAAGCTAGACAATATATCACAGACAAGTTATGCCTAAAAGTTGCAGGACCGTGTACACAACCTCTGTTTACGCTTCCAGGCTGGTTAAATGTAACATCGTATTCTAATCTCCTTTGGTTCTATTATAGTCTTGGTTGTAGAATCACTTATCACCTCCATCTGAAGTAGGCTCTTAAATCTTTCACTTCCCACTATTTACTTAGCCAGTTCTAATCAAAACAAGGATATCTGCATTCACACATTGCTGCTAGGTCAGTTTGCAACTGAAAGTAACCTGGGGTTGAATCAGCTTTATTTCACAGTTGGGATTATCGAAATCGTTCCCAGATACAATCAGTCTTGCCATCGACACTCAGTGAAATTAATTAAGCTCCCCATTTGTTTAATGTGCTTTCTAATTAACCTAGTCTGGAGAACAGCAAAACAACGTCCAGATTCTGTGAGCCCTTTTAAAGTTTGGCACCAGGGAAAAGACATTAGAGTCTCCATATAATTAGCCCTCCTCCCCCATCCGCTCTCCTAATGGCTAAATTAGAGGTCTTCCGCATAGCAATAGCTGCACCGTGTTTAATATTACAATAAAAGCATGCATAGGAAGGAATGCCATCAAGTGCAACACCCAGAAACATTATTTCTTTAATTAGGATTGTAATTGTGATATTTTTACTACTTTATAGTGCATTTGGGGCAACAGCTTCCCTGCCTGCAGGCTTCTCCTCCCAATTCGATGGAGCAGGGAGTTTCAACACAGTCATGTGTCCCACTTTACAGAGGTCTGTCCTCTACTTGGAAGGGTGCCAAACGCCAGTCCTGTTATTTAAAGCCCTCTTTCTTCAAAGGGCTCTCTTAGCAGTGGAACAGTGGTGAATTATGAAGTGTAGGAGCTCATTGTGACACAGCTGCTAAAGCCACACTCACAAGGGCTGCAGAGTGTGCCAAAGACCTGCAGTTGTTGTTGTTGTTGTTGTTGTTGTTGTTGTTGTTGTTGTTGTTGTTACAGATGACTGGGTTGCCCCAGCCACTCTGGGGTACATAACGTACTTGTCAGGGAGGGACTGGATGAGGAAGAGTGGTGGGCCTAGAGCCCCCCAGGGACGACACAGAAGATGACTTAGCCCCAGATCGTGGTGGAGGGACACTGGGGAGCAGTCGGGGGAAGGGGACGAGCTGGGAGGTGCTCGAAACAGGAGGTTTGAGCGATCAAGGGGGGTCAGAAGAAGGAAGTCCTTTCAGGACAGGGCTGGAGGCTGAGAGTCTCAGTGTCAGCGCAGAGTCAGACAGGGAGGAGTCAGAGATTGCCCCTGCTACCCAGTAGCAGGGCAGTCCCAGTCTTTCTAGAGGGGGACTCTGACACCTTGCTCCAGGAGAGTCCTTCACGTTGCTAAGCTACGGACCGGACAGGAAGAGCCCATCTCCTCGCCACTTGGGATGAATCCCAAGGGAAAAGCTAGAGGGCAAAAGTTTGAGAGATTTATTGCAAGTGAAGTCTGCTAATACAGTGGTACCTCGGGTTAAAAACTTAATTCGTTCTCGAGGTCCGTTCTGAAACTGAAACTGTTCTTAACCTGAGGTACCACTTTAGCTAATGGGGCCTCCCGCTGCCGCCACGCGATTTCTGTTCTCATCCTGAAGCAAAGTTCTTAACCCGAGGTACTATTTCTGGGTTAGCGGAGTCTGTAACCTGAAGCGTCTGTAGCCTGAAGTACATCTTGTGCCCACACACTTCCTCTGGCATGAGCTTTGCAGAGTACGCAATGTTGTTGGAAGTGATTGAAGTCTGAACGCTGTCCTTCTGGACAATGAAGGAAAAGACGTCTTGAAAGCTACAACTAGTGTTTATTGTAGTAAACAGTAATAAAGACATAGATTAGTAAATACAAGTACAGAGTGTTAACAGCATGTACACTCAGCAAACTGCCATTAAACAATCCCTCATGCTCTCTAACCACCACAGACAGGCCAGACTCTCTCAGAAGAACACAGGCATATATATATAGCTGCTCTGTTACAGTATAACACTGATTGGCTAAGCAGCGTTTTTTTATATGTGTCTAGATTCCACCATGCTTACATTTCGCTAAGTTCCTGTTTGTGCAAGTGTTAGAAACTAAGTAGGTTGTCAGTGCCACTCTGTGCCTGTTTGAGTAAGCCTCTTTGACCTCAGTGGGACATACTCCCAGGTAAGCATATAGAGGATTGCAGCAGGTGTCTACAAGATGCTTCATATATCTGTGCTTTAAAGTGAACTTTAAACTGATTTAGGTCTTAATTCAAATTTTGACCCAGGCCTCTTTTGCATAGCTTGCTTCTCTGGGACACGGAGACCAATTTATCTTTCTCTAGCTTCCAATAAAGCTCCTCCACTACTTTAGTTCTTTATACTGTTCCTGACCGAAAAAGAAAAAGAAAATCCTGCTTTTCAAGCACTGTACACAAATTAAATATTCATATCCCTTAAAAGCAATTAAATTTACTGTCAAGTAATTTGCAACTCTAAACAGCAAATGTACAAAAATAATTAGCCTGGTTGAAAATCAGTTAGTTTTCTGATAAGCTCATAAGCCCTTTTAATTAAAATCACAATATTCTTTTAATTGCCAAAGGGAATATTTTGTTTATAACAGAGGAACATTCCTAAGTTTTAATTTAAGTTTCACACTGATATTCCTGTAATTGAGTATCACCCTCTGGGGCCACGAATACCCATCTAGCAAAATAATGTGCTTCCCATCAGTGCCATAGAACGGCATGCATGAAAATGGACCATTCTGAAAAAAGAAGAAAATAAAAGTTATTATAATAGATTGGGTCATTGCTCGGGAGGATTTCCATGGAGTGCTGTTCATATTCATTTAAGAGGTTTTCTTATTTAGTCAAAAGGTTGCTTTGTTATAGTTCAATAATCTGCTTTGAGTACAGTGGTACCTTGGTACTTGAACGGCTTGGCTTCCGAACAAATCGTCTCCCAAACGCCGCAAACCTGGAAGTGAATGTTCCGGTTTGCGAACATTTTTCGGAAGCCAAATGTCCGATGAACAGACTCCACGAACGGATTAAGATTGAGAACCAAGGTACCACTATACTTTTAAACAGTAGTTTGGATAGGCTTTGCTCAGTCAGAACCTACAACTAAAATCCTAATGGTCTATAATCACATCGAAGGCACCAGTTACAAACCAACATTCCATGGAACATTTTTGCAGGTTTCATGCCCTGATGTGGATTTTAGGATTTTTCCTTATGGACCAATGTTACAGCTACCTTGACTTTAAGTACAGTGGTACCTCAGGTTTAGAACTTAATTTGTTCCGGAGGTCAGTTCTTAACCTGAAACTGTTCTTAACCTGAAGCACCACTTTAGCTAATGGGGCCTCCTGCTGCCACCGCGCCGCCGCTGCGAGATTTCTGTTCTCATCCTGAAGCAAAGTTCTTAACCCGAGGTACTACTTCCGGGTTAGGGGAGTCTGTAACCTGAAGCGTCTGTAACCTGAAGTGTCTGTAACCCGAGGTACCACTGTACAAGAGGTAATGCAAACTAAACAGCCAACATTCAGATTTCGGGATAGTCCGTTCTTGTGTTGCAATCTTTTCTTAGCAAGAAAAAAAGCAAAAAGCAAAAAGAAAACTCACACTATTCTAGGCTGCATCAACAGAAGTCTAGTGTCCAGATCAAGGGAAGTAATAGTGCCACTCTATTCTACCTTAGTCAGACCACACTTGGAATACTGTGTCCAGTTCTGGGCACCAAAATTGAAGAAGGATAATGACAAGCTGGAACGTGTGCAGAGGAGGACGACCAAGGTGATCAAGGGTCTGGAAACCAAGCCTTATGAGGAACGGTTGAAGGAGCTGCGTATGTTGAGCTTGGAAAAGATGAGACTGAGAGGAGCCAGGATAGCCATCTTCAAATATCTTAAGGGTTGCCACATGGAAGAGGGAACATGCTTGTTTGCTCCTGCTCTGGAAGGTAGGACTCAAATCAATAGCTTCAAGTTACAAGAAAGGAGTTTCCAAGGAAATGTCAGGAAGAACTTTCTGACAGTAAGAGCTGTTTGACAGTGGAACAGTCTCCTTCAGGAGGTTGTGGACGCTCCTTCATTGGAGAGTTTTAAGCAGAGGTTGGATGGTCATCTGTCCTGGATGCTTTAGCTGAAATTCCTGCATTTCAGGGGGCTGGACTAGATGACCCCTGGGCCCCTCCCAGCTCTAAGATTCTATGATTCTTCTCTCTTCTTTCTCTTTTTCCTTTTTTTGTTTTGTTTTTGAGAGAACTGAATCATTTTGGTTTAGTTTCATCTCATTCACACTACACCACCCTTCCTGTGATCTCACCCAACAATGACCCCCCACTCCACACACACCTCTCCTGACAGAAACCTTTCCTTATATACTGACAGCCACGTGTTTAGAGAATACAGGTCCCAAAACTAGACCTTTCCATTTATTACCTGTTGCTGGCATTTTACCAGGAGTAAAGGAATGATGCGCTTCTTTCTATATGCAGTGTGTGAAATAGTTAATATACTTTAAAAGCATCACCGGTACGTTTGCATTTTTAGATTTGTGAGAGAGGTGTTGTTTACAACTTTGGCAACAGCGTAAATGGGCAAGCTTTGCTGGAAATGCAGAAGTTTGAAGGCCACATTTTCCCCAATAATGTTTGAAAAAATGTTTTCAAGAAGCTTGTTAGGATGTTGAGCAGTCTTGGGAGCCTACCAATGATTTATTTACATCTCTATTCTTGTTTTGTCAACATGGACATGGTCATGAAGCTCTGTGGTTACTGCTATGTTTTGTTTGGTTTTATTGAGTCATCTAATATAAAGTACACCATGTTTGTTCCAGGATTAAAAACCTTATCTGCAGTCTCTATTTTTGAGAACTGTTTTGCCGTTTTCCTGCTATACATATTCCAATTTGTCTCTCCTCAGGCTGTTAAACCCTCAAAGGACAGAGCCAGAGAATTTAAAGGTCCAGTTCCTAATTTTAAAAAGCACTGGGCATTCAACCATTGATAGAGGACATGGAAGACTTTTGGATCTGGATAGATGTGATCACATTTTCAAGAATACATGTTTCAGTCAGAAAAAGGCAAGGATAGCTGTAAGCCCATCAGTCCAGTCAGAGATGGCCCAAGACATTTTCCTACCTGAGATGAGGGTGAAGGGGGTGTTTTTTTCCCCCATTCCACATACGGAAGCAAACCAGACTGGAAGTTTCAATGCTGCCAATGGGGTATGAATCCATACCCTCCAACATTTCTCTGATGAAAATAGGGTTGTCCCATAATGATAATTTTACTACAGTGGTACCTTGGGTTACAGACGCTTCAGGTTACAGACTCCACTAATCCAGAAGTAGTACCTCAGGTTAAGAACTTTGCTTCAGGATGAGAACAGATATCATGCCCTGGCAGCACGGCAGCAGTAGGAAGCCCCATTAGCTAAAGTGGTACCTCAGGTTAAGAACAGTTTCGGGTTAAGAACGGACCTCCAGAACGAATTAAGTTCTTAACCTGAAGTACCACTGTATTTATACCTCTTATTGGTGTGCCCCAGCCATTCTGGGCAGCTTCCAAGATATATAAAAACATAATAAAACCTTTATTTCTTTTTTAAAAACCTCCCCTAGACAGATTCTCTTCAGATGGCTCAGAGCTCTGATAACTCCGTACCCTCCAACATTTCTCCAATGAAAATAGGGGCGTCCTAAGCAAAAGTGGAACATTTCAGGATCAAATCAGGGACATCCCTAGAAAATAGGGACACTTGGAAGGCCTAGCATTCTAGCTTGGAGGGTACAGGGAGGGCTAAGTAGCCACACACAATTTGCAAATGGATTTTTTTCTTGAAGCAAGCATGGAAACGAGTACAGTGGAACCTCGGTTTTTAAACGTAATCCATTCCAGAAGTCGGTTCGAATTCCGAAACGTTCGAAAACCGAAAGCTCAATACGGAAGCCTCAAAACAGAAAAATTAATACGAAAAACTCAATATGGAAGCCGCCTCAGAAGTTCGACTTCTGAGGTATGTTCGAAAACAGAAGCATTTACTTCCGGGATTACGGCGTTCAAGTGCCAAATCGTTCGGAACTGTATTAAGCTTGCGCTACATTCCATTATAATTCCAGAAATGGCTTTTGCATCGCATGAAAGCTAAAATCTCATGCAGAACTTAACAGGGGGAAAGTCATGAACACAGAAAAAACTGCTATTTGAAAGCAACCGTGGTCAGTTCGTGAAGCACCACAAAAACTGGCAAAACAGGGACTATATTAAAGTAACTGTGTATAACACAAGCAAAAAAATAAAAAGCTGTACTTTTAACCCTGTGGAAAAAAAGATCTATCATCTCTCTACAGCCTGGAATTATTCTTGCTCTCTTACTTTTCTTAGCTCCTCAAGAGAAACAAAATGGCTGGTCAGCCACTGCTGGAAACATTTCTTATACAAACAGAATTACGAAAATAGATACATGAAATGGAAGGCTAAGCTTCATAAGCCAGCAGTCTTAACTGCATGTTCCTTCTGGGATAATCTGTTTAATATTTCTGATAAGGTAATCCTTTCTTCTCCCTTCCACTTGAAATATGTCCAACTTCATATATCATTAGACATTGCTGAGGCCTCGTCTCTCTAACGGACACTTGGTGACACTAATTCAACATCCTTTTGGCTCCAGCCATGACAGCTTTAGCTCAATCTATGAATGAGTTCTTGATCGCTTCAAAGGTGTAAATAATTCTTAAAATTAAATTTGTTGTGTTTGTCTTACTACTCAGTGCAGTGGTACCTTGGTTCTCAAACGCCTTCGTAGTCAAAGGTCTTGGTTCTCAAACAGCAAAAACCTGGAAGTACCGTATTTTTCGCCCTATAGGACGCACTTTTCCCCCTCCAAAAATGAAGGGGAAATGTGTGTGCGTCCTATGGAGCGAATGCAGGCTTTCACTGAAGCCTGGAGAGTGAGAGGGGTCGGTGCGCACCGACCCCTCTCGCTCTCCAGGCTTCAGGAAGCTATCCTCAAGCTGTGGGAGAGCTGCCTGTTCTGGGGGCTGGGGTCGGGGGAAGCTCGGGCTTCCCCTGCCCCAGCCCCGCGCCTGGGGGGGGGGAATTAAAAATTTTTTATTTCCCCCCAAAAAAACTAGGTGCACCCTATGGGCCGGTGCGCCCTATGGGACGAAAAATACGGTAAGTGTTCCAGTTTTTGAACGTTTTTAGGGAGCCGAACGTCCGGTGTGGTTGTCAACTATTGTTTCTCGGGCACCTGCACCAATCAGAAGCTGCGCCTTGGTTTTCGAACATTTCGAAAGTAAAACGGACTTACGGAACGGATTAAGTTTGGCGCTTTTGTTTTTGCTATTTATTTTGCGTTTTGGTTTTTGAGCCTTTTTCGGTTAATTTGTTTTTGTGACTGTGTGGAACCCAGTTCAGCTACTGATTGATTGATTGATTGATTGGGTGACTGGAAATGGATAAAAGCCGCCCCCGCCCCCATCCAAACAGTGACTTCCAAACAATGAAGCTTTTAATGTTTGACGGACTATTGTATTTTAATATTTTGTTGGAAGCCACCCAGAGTGGCTGGGGAAACCCAGACAGATGGGTGGGGTATAAATATTAAATTATCATCATCATCATCATCATCAGCGAAGGTAAGGGGAAAAAATACTTTAAATTTTTATCATCTACAATACTGTCTTATTTATTTTATAGTACAGTACATTGATTATTGCTTTCATTTTATGGATCAATGGTCTCGTTAGATAGAAAAAATCATGTTAAATTGCTGTTTTAGGGGTTGTTTTTAAAAGTCTGGAACAGATCCATTTTGCATTACTTTCTATGGGAAAGTGCGCCTTGGTTTTGGAACGCTTTGGCTTTGGAACGGACTTCCGGAATGGTTAAGTTTGAGAACCAAGGTACCACGTATTTAGTCTGAAATGAAAGGAAGCTCTGCAAAGCACACGGGTTTCATACAAATTTAAATCTTGGGTCAGCATCCACAGCTGGATTCAGCATCTAGTGGTTATTTATTACTGTTTTCACTTCCGGCTTGCACCTGCACTTAGAAAAACCCAGAAGTCCATTGTGGATGTTCAAATAGCAATCTCCCCCAGGCACACCTAAGATAGGACTAAACAACAATATTTATTCAACAAATGAGAAAACTGGTAGCATAGGCAAAATGACAAAAGTATCTCCAAAATCAAAACATTCCATCTCCTCTCAAGGTCTAGATGTGCTGGTGAAAGATTCTGCCAGAGTACCGCTGCGCAACTGGTCCTTCAGGGGCACAGTTACCCCATGCAGGACCAGGGTGTCCTCCACATCTGCCCACCCCATCTCCCCAAAACAGTACTTCTGTCTTGTCAGGATTCAACCTCGATCTGTTAGCTGCCGTCCATCCTCCAACCACCTTCAGACACTCACACAGGACCTTCACTGCCCTCACTGGTTCTGATTTTAAAGAGAGGTAGAGCTGGGTATCACCTGCATACTGATGAACACCCAGCCCAAACCCCCTGATGATCTCTCTCAGTGGCTTCTTGTCGATGTTAAAAAGCATGGGGGAGAGGACGGAACCCTGAGGCACCCCACAAGTGAGAGCCCAGGGGTCCGAACACTCATCCCCCAACACCCCTTTCCAGACATGGCCCAGGAGGAAGGAGCGGAACCACTGCATAACTGTGCCCCCCTTTTTGCATGGTAAAATGACAAATTTTATGGCCCATTTTAGAGCTGTGCGATTTCCCCATTATTGGCCAAAATCGGTTTTGAAATCACACCGCGATAACGATTTTGACCCAGCAATAGGCAGCAATATTTCACTCCTCGCACGAGGGAGAGCAGGGCAGCTGATTTCAAGGCACTGCCAATATCGCACGGTGATCTCAGCCGATATCGCTGCTGATATGAGCTGCCTTCCATCACGCTGAGGGAAAACAGGGCATCCGATTGTGAGGCGCTGTCTTCCCCTTACGCTAATGGAGAACAGGGAAGCTGATCATCCTCTCTTCAAGGCACCATGGCACTACCTTCTTCTGGCACTGAGGCAGAGAAGATTTTCTCAGCAGGAAAGCAGCAGCAGCAGCCACAGTAGATCTTTGCTGGCTGCCCCGCTGACAGTGGCTTGACGCACACACCCCCAATCCCCTTCAATTTCAGGCATTGTGATATCTCGGAATATCGTGATGTTTAGCCGCTGATATATCACAATGTTGGAAACCAGAAATCACTCACCCCTGGGCTGTTGTTTAGTATACCCAAAATCCTTTGCTTATTAGGGGCTACCCAACATTTTGTTCAAAAAATTGCTTTGTAGAGGTAACTACCGCAGAGTTGTCAACATTTTCAAAAGTAGGGGGTCCGTGGCTTGGCTTTTGAAAAATAGGGGGTCCTCAGTAATCAGCTAATTGGGAGCCCCTGTGCTTGATGGTCCTCCATGTCCCTTCCAACTCTGCAGTTCTATGATTCTGTGATTTTATGCTCCAGCAGGTGGCAGCAGATAATTTGGGTGTGTTATGAATGCCTCAGGCATCCCATGGCAGCAGCAAATTTGTATTCCAATCAGCTGGTGGCATATGTCAGGGGTCAGCAAACTTTTTCAGCAGGGTCCACTGTCCCTCAGACCTTGTGGGGGGCCAGACTATATTGGGGGGGGATGAACGAATTCCTATGCGCCACAAATAACCCAGAGATGCATAAAATAAATGGACACATTCTACTCATGTTAAAACATCAGGCAGGCCCCACAAATAATCCAGAGATGCATTTTAAATAAAAGGACACATTCTACTCATGTAAAAAGATGCTGATTCCTAGACTGTCTGCGGGCCGGATTTAGAAGGCGACTGAGGCGGATCTGGCCCCCGGGCCTTCGTTTGCCTACCCATGGCATACGTTCTGTGGTCTCTGAAGCATCAGCCAATCGGAAAAGCAAGCAAGATCCTGTCTGTCCATGTGGCCCATGAACCATCCATCCTAATAGTGATTTTGGCCTGGAGGAAGGAACCTGCTTATTCACAATTTCACCCTGCGGTCTTCACTACGAAAGTGGGCAAATCTCTGCTGCAAGCACTCAGAAGAGCAACAGTTCAGCTCAGATCCACAAGAGAGGAGAGTGGTTTCTGGTCTTAATCTGTTTTGCCTCACCAGAGTTGCGTGTCTGTGTTCCCAGTGCCACTACTGCCCAGGAGGAAACAGGCTCCTACTGGTTGTTTTTTTACTTCCTAAGGGTGGCTGGGGAGGACGACTGACCCAGTACCTGCTTGTTGGTTAATGTCTTGTTGTTGGCATCCGTCTGCCTCGAGAGACAATGGAGTGCGCCTCTGGAGGTGAAGTCAAATTGCTGCATTAGCAGCAACGAAACGACCTCCCTAGGGTGCAAACCTGGGCAGAGTGTATGGAGGTTCTGGGCTGCCAAGATGATAAGACCCCCCTCTCGGCTACACTGATGTAGTCCAAAGAAAAGCAGAGCAATACGTTTGGCACCAGCTTGGCTGCAGGAGTTGCTGGAAAGAGGCATAGAAGACACCATGCAACTGCCTTAAGGACTCCCACTTAGGGTTACCACCTTTGTTCTGGCCAAATACAGGGCAGGGCAGTTGGGGGATGATTATTATTATTTCATCTGATGCTGAAGTGACTTCAAAGCAATCCATTATGATGTATTGCAGCCTAACGGGCTGCCCCCTCTGGAATTTCTCTCTCTCTCTCTCTCTCTCTCTCTCTCTCTCACACACACACACACTTGTAGATCTGCCTCTGCTTGTCTACCCAGAGCTTAAATACATGATCTTTCACACACCCTTTCAAACACATGTGTTTGCAAGGGTCCCTAACTTGGCAGAAAGAGAGAGAAGAGAGAGAGACCTGAAATACAGGACGTAGCATTTTACATTGAAATACGGGAAAATCCTGTATTATACAGGACAGGTGGCAACCCTAACTCCAGACTGATTTACTCCTTAGCCTTTTCTTCTCCTGAAGACATCTGTTATTAGAATTCTAAGGTCCCACATATAAAATAAACGTTCATAAATGTACAAGGCAAACACATACATAAGTATATAAACCATGTCTCTGAAATAGTACAGGAGAGCAATCCTGAAGCCATTTGGACTCTCCCAAATTGGCCTCAAATATTTCTCTGCAAGGAGGAAGGAAATGGGAAAGTCTCTCCATTGTCTTTTGCTTACCTGTATTAAGGGCATATTTGTGTATGAATAGGGTAAACCTGTAACCTGGATTCAGGAACCAAACATATTTACCATCACAAAAGAGTGGCCAGGCTGCCCAGCTAAAGCAATCAGTGTCCATTAACAGATATCCTGGCAAACAGGATTTCTGCTGTAGACCGCTTCCTGTGATGTATTTCTGCTGTAGGCTGCCCCCTTCTGTGATGTATGTATGATGTTTTGGGGGATGGTCTTAGGCTAGAGGGATGCAGGTGGCGCTGTGGTCTAAACCACTGAGCCTCTTGGGCTTGCCGATCAGAAGGTTGGCGGTGAGCTCCTGTTGCTCGGTCCGTGCTCCTGCCAACCTAGCAGTTTGAAATCATGTCAAAGTGCAAGTGGATAAATAGGTACCACTCCGGTGGGTAGGTAAACAGCGTTTTCGTGCACTGCTCTGGTTTCGCCAGAAGCGGCTTTGTCATGCTGGCCACATGACCCAGAAAAACTGTCTGCGGACAAACGCTGGCTCCCTCGGCCAGAAAAGCGAAATGAGCGCCGCAACCCCAGAGTCATTCGTGACTGGACTTAACTGTCAGGGGTCCTTTACCTTTTTTACCTTAGGCTACAGGGTGGGCAATTTCAAAAGTCTATATAAGGGCTTGCGCACCATTGTTCTGGGTTCCTTCTCCCTCCTGCATGTAGTGAGTGAGGCCCCTGCTGCAACAGTTTAATAAAGATCAGGCTTACTAGCTGCTTTGCTTCTCAATATTCTCTGGCTGGCGTCTGTTATTTTCTCCTACCGATGGGGAACCCACTTAAGGACTCTATACTGGCTTTTGGATATCCCATAAGGGAAAAGGAGGAAGTTTTTTCTAGAACACATCCCACAAGGCAGCAGAGGTTTAGAATCAGAGTTTTCCTTCTCCTAGATGGGCTACCTTCCCAGGTTGACAAGCCCCATCTGCCTCTCATTTCCCTCTATAGTACAAGCAGAGACCACCAGCTTGACTTCTGACAATTCAGCACTATGTTGCAGCTTTGTTCAACGTGCAGCTATTGCCTCCTCATGGAGCTGTATCTTGAGTTTCTTTCAACAAGAGGGCACTACCAACCTCCAGCACCTGCCATCTTCTGTTTTTCTCTACAGCTTTACGGTTGCACGTCACGAAAGCAAGTTCCCATTCTGCACAAATTCAGAAATCCATTCAGCACTGTCAATTCTTCATTGAACCTAAAGGCCTGGGAACAGTTTTGGACCATTTCATTTCGCATCGCATCGGGGCTTCTTCTGTGCAATTCATTTCTCAGTTGTAGGTCTACGCATTGCTCGTGGTTTCTGTCTTGTCAAGGAACGAAACGTGAGAATAAAGGTGGCTGAGATGAAATAGCATGACACTGGGTGGTGTGGAAAGTTTGGAGAATCACAAGAATTCAAATGCTGTGCAAATGCATGATGCTTGTTAATCATAAGAGCAACTCAAAAAGTAGGTCAGCTCATTTATAGCCTGCTGGCCATACTTGTTTACGATGAATCACTTTTGCAACTGGATCAACATCAGCCAAGGTGACTTTTACTCATGTTCTACTATGCCAAAGTAATCAAATTAATCAACCCACATAAAGTACATGGAATTTAGGCTAATACAAGCCCTTAAAATGTCCAGATAAGTATTCACACGAAGTTGTCATATGTTGAAACATGTTCAGATGTAGCCAATGCTATTAGATACTTGGAACATTACATAGTAGACAGTGGGTATTTATCCTTTGTATGAAGTTCTATTTACTTATGGTTACTGCATTCAGACTGTGAAATTGTGGCTGCTGTTTGTTATTAGTAGTAGTAGTATTTATATACTATTTTTTCCTGTCCTTAATTTCTTATTTAGCTAGCTAAATATGCATATATATATATATATATATATCTCAACAAAAATAAAAAACAAACAACAATAATATAATAATAATAATAACAATAATCCATTCAACTTGTTTTTATTATTGCTTGTTAGCCACCCTGAACCCGGCCTTGGCTGGGGAGGGCGGGGTATAAATAAAAATTAGTAGTAGTAGTAGTAGTAGTATTAATGAATACAACAAACAAAGAAAAATAAACACAAAAACAATATCAACTCCACAAAGTGGGATTCTCTGAATCCCGTGACTCCCCCTCCCCCCAGTTCCTTATAAATAGGCTTTTTCTAATCAGATAACATGTGTACTCCTCAAACTGCACTCTAAAGGGTTCACAAAGGCAAAATCCACACACAAAAGATCAGACTAAAACCGCTGCCTTGCAACAAATGACTTTTGGGCTTTCTCCTTTTCTGGAGGCTGAGCTAACTCATCCTTTCCATTATCCTCTGCTCCAGTTGCACATAAAAGAATTCAAATTGCATCATTTGAATGCCAGCAAACCACACAGAGGTCACAACGGAAGAGTTAAGGAGGCCTCAAACAGCAGCAAACTGTCCGTTAGATGGCACCATTGAGGCAAATTAGAGCAAGATGCCTTTTGGAGAACCTCAAACATGAGAGAGGACAACTGAAAAAGCGCTCCTAAAGTTATTATGAAAACATCTTTGCCCTGGCATTTTCCACGCTTGTGGCCAGATAGATGCGTAGCGTGATAATGTGGTGGATATATATTTCTAAACTTCCAAAGAGTCTGAAAGGGCTCAGTGACCTGAATCGGGGAAGAGCCATGGTTTGTATTAGAGGAAGACACTGGAAAAATAGGTCATGCTGCTCCCAGGACCAGAAAAGAAAGTCAGCTGTTTCAGCCATAGTACGTTTAGGCTTAGATAACCTTCTGAGCAAATGAGACCCACTGGGCCATTATTAGCAGGGCACAGAACAAGGCAGTGCCTGTTGCTGACATACCCTCCAACATTTCTCCGATGAAAATAGGGGCATCCCATTCCAAAATAATTATTCCTATTATGTAACCACTGAGCCTCTTGGGCTTGCTGATCAGAAGGTCAGCGGTTCAAATCCCCGCAACAGGTTGAGCTCCCATTGCTCTGCCCCAGCTCCTGCCAACCTAGCAGTTCGAAAGCACACCAGTGTGAGTAGATAAAGAGGTACCGCTGTGGTGGGAAGGTAAACGGCATTTCCGTGCTCTCTGGCTTCCATCACAGTGTCCCGTTGCACCAGAAGCGGTTTAGTCATGCTGGCCACATGTGGACAAACGCCAGCTCTCTCGGCCTGAAAGCCAGATGAGTGCCACAACCCCATAGTCGCCTTTGACTGGACTTAACTGTCCAGGGGTCATTTACCTTTTTACCTTCATTTCATTATTTATACCCTGCCCATCTGACTGTTGCTCAGTCATGCCACACAGCTTCGAATACATATAAAAACATCATAAAACATTAAACTTTTTTTTAAAAAACTTCCCTATTCGGGGCTCCCTACAGATGTCTTCTAAAGGTTGTATGGTTATTTATCTCCTCGGCTCGGGGGTCACATAGCGGGGACTTTAGTAGGATGGCTGCCAAATGCCAGTCAGAGCTGAGATGCCCTTGGCTCCCATAGAAAAGGCACCAGCATTATGAGATAAAAGCCTGCCACCTTAGACTGTGATTGGTGTCTCTGGCAGCAGGACTCACAGCATCACCCAAGGGTGTTTAGTGGTGGCAGCCATGGCACTGGGGAGGGCCCAATCAATGGGTTTTGTGCTGGCAACACCATGGTGGAGATAACAGGTGCTGAGGCAGGGTAAATGTTCCCACTAGTGGACACAATTGCTGTTTCTGTTGCTAGGAGACTCATAAGGGGCTCCATGCCAAGGGTCTACTCAAGCCTGGCAGCAGTGCCAACTGTGGGCTTACCTTGTCTTGCTTGCTTTTGCATACCCTCCAATATTTCCCCAATGAAAATAGGGACCTCCTAAGGAGAAGTACAGTGAAGGACAGATCGTGAAGCTGAGGCTCCAATACTTTGACCACCTCATGAGAAGAGAAGACTCCCTGGAAAAAACCCTGATTTTGGGAAAGATGGAGGGAACAAGGAGAAGGGGACGACAGAGGACGAGATGGTTGGACAGTGGTCTCAAAGCTACCAGCATGAGTTTGACCAAACTGCGGGAGACAGTGGAAGACAGGAGTGCCTGGCGTGCCCTGGTCCATGGGGTCATGAAGAGTCAGACACGACTAAACGACTAAACAACAACAACAACAAGGAGAAGTGGGACATTCTGGGATCAAATCAGAAACCAGGACGGCTTCTCTAAATCAGGGACGTCCCTGGAAAATAGCGACACTTGGAGGGCCTGACATTCTAGCTTGGGGGGTCCAGGGTGGGCTACGTAGCCACATCTTACTGGGTTACACCAGCCATTCTGGGCAGCTTCCAACATATATACAGACATAATAAATCATTAAACAACTTCCCTATACAGGGAAGTTCCCTATACAACTTGCCTTCAGAGAGCTCGGGGGTCGGATAACTCCATACCTTCCAAAATTTCTCCAGTGAAAATAGGGACATCCTAATTATTTAATTTTTATTAGTTTCAAATTCATTATGCAACACCAAACATTAAAGCAACAAAAAAGACAAACAAAACACAAGAAAACAACAAAAAAGAAGAAAAACATTACATAACATAAAACACCAACAAGTTAAACTTACAATAACTAAATAACTAAATCACACAACAATAGTTGACTTCCCCTCAACTCGGTTTTGGAATATGTTACAAAAGGTTTCCTATCTGCAGTTTCGTTTTCTTAAAACTCTTTGCGTCGCAAGCGTTATATCGAGCCTACTGTGATTTTTAGATTTTTTACATCTGTTTCAATATATGTCATAAATTTATTCCATTCATTATTAAACTTTGTACCTTTTTGGTTTCTTATTTTCTGTGTCATTTTTGCCAATTCTATATAGTCAAATAATTTTGATTGCCACTCATTTATAGTTGGGATTTTTGATGTCTTCCAGTTTTGTGCTATTAGTGTTCTAGCAGCCACTGTTGCATATTGGAAAAATGATTGGTCTTCCTTTTAATTTCTTCACCAATTATCCCCAGAAGGAAGGCATACGGGTTATTTGTGAAGGTATATTTAAATATTTTTTTTAATTCATTGTAAATAGATTCCCAAAACTTTCTAATTACTTCACAAGACCACCACATGTGGTAAAAATTGCCTTCTTTAATCTTGCATTTCCAGCATAATTTGTCTCCGGTTTTATACATTTTTTCTAATTTTACCGGCGTGATGTACCACCTGTACATCATTTTATTCATGTTCTCTCTAAGTGTTGTACATGCCGAAAATTTCATACCTTTATTCCAAAGTTTCTTCCACTTATCAAATTCTATGTTGTATCCAAAGTCTATCGCCCATTTCACCATTACTTCTTTTATTTCTTCATCTTTAGTGTCCCATTCAAGCAACTGGCTGTACATTTTTGATAGGAGTTTTGATTTGTTTTCTAATATTTCTACCTGGAATCTGGATTTTTTTTCGTTCATCCCATTCTTTTTATCTTCAGTCCACATAGCATTGATTTGATGAAATTGGATCCAGCCTGTCAATTTATTTTTTATCTCCTCATATGGCCTAATCTTCCATCCATTTTCTGTTTTTACTAGCAAATCTTCATAAGTCCATCTTTCTCCTTCAGTATTTATTTTTTTTATTGTTAAGATGTCGATAGGTGATAACCACCAAGGGGTATTTCTTTCCAATAATTTTTTGTTTCTCTCCCATACTTCCAGCAGTGGCCCTCTAATAATATGATTAGAGAATCCTTTGTGGACCTTTTCCTTATTGCGCCATAAATAAGCGTGCCAACCAAATCTTATGTTGAAGCCTTCTAAATCTAATAGATCTGTGTTTTTGATAACAATCCAGTCTTTAACCCAGCAAAGGCACGAGGCTTCATAATACAACTTCAAATTTGGAACCGCAAATCCTCCCCTATCTCTTTGATCTGTGAGTAATTTGAATCAAATTCTTGGCCTTTTCCCTTGCCAAATAAATTTCGAGAGTACTTTCTGCCAATCTTTAAATATTGAGGTTCCCCTGATTATCGGTATATTTTGAAATAAGAACAGCAACTTCAGTAATAAACTCATCTTAATTGCCGCCATTCTTCCCGACCAAGAGAGTTTTATTCTATTCCAGGTATCCAGGTCCTTCCTTATTTCTTTCCATGTGTTTGTGTAGTTGTCTTCCATTAAATTTATATTCTTCATCGTTAGCCAAATTCCGAGGTATTTTACTTTTTTAGTTACTTTGTATTTCAAGATGGTTTTTTACCTCTTCTATCATATTTTTAGTCATCATTTTAGTTTTTGTTCTATTTAGTTTAAAGCCGGATAACTTTCCGTATTCTTCTAGCAAATCTAACACTTTACCGACGCTTTTTTTTGGGTC